TCCTTGGGAGTCAGGACTAGGGTGAGTACTGACATTCCACAGGTGAGAAAACGGAGGCTAAATTAGGAAGAATGACTTCACCTAAGTCACTAGCTAGTAAATTGCAGAATTGAATGAAGAACACAGGGTTTCTGATTTCTACACCATTGCACTCTTCCCTTGGCCTCAATCTTCCAATCAGTGCAGCTCCCGCAAGAACTCAGACTCTATCCAAACTCTGTGATTCTGCAAATTTCCTTGGTCAACCTATGCTTGAAGAAGAATCCTTTTTATCTTATACTAGATAACTGGGCACCCAATCTTTGTTGGATTTTTGGATATTTGTTTGGAACATTGTTTGGATATTTGTTGGCATATCTCCAGGGAGGGGCAAGTGCTCACCTCCTCAGATAGCCCATTCTACTTGGGGATAGCTCTCATTGTTTTTTTGTTTTGTTTTGTTTTTTTAGGCAATTGGGGTTAAGTGACTTGCCCAGGGTCACACAGCTAGTAAATGCCAAGCGTTTGGTGTGAGGCCAGATTTGAACTCGGGTCCTCCTGCTTTCAGGGCCGGTACTCTATCCACTGCGCCACCTAGCTGCCCCAGATAACTCTCATTGTTAATCAAGTCAACAAGGATTTATTAAGTACTTACTATGTGCTGGGTGATGCAATATGGCAAAAGACAATGGAGCTATCGCTTCCTTATTCCTGGAAGTTAAGCCTCTCTTTAAAAAGCCTAAGATAACAATAGTTTTGAATTTTGATCAGAGTCCCTGCACCTGCTAGTGCTCCGCCTCACCTTGGGACGGAGATCTAGAACCAAGTATGGGCAATGCAGTAGAGTCCTGCACCCAAGTGCCAGCACAGGGTCCCCGTGATCTCCTCCTGACAGGTTGTCTGAATCCCTCATGGTCTGTGGCCTGAGAGCTCTGGAAGCTGCCACCGATGATTTGGTCTCTCCCAAGGCTTGCTGCTGACCTGCTTGGGCATGGTGTGTTCTGGACTCTGTGCTCACTCCAGTGAAACAGACCTTTACTCCTAAGTTGGCTTGGCCTGGAAAATTGTTTCACCTTGTGTTTTTGTTGGTTCTGCCACTCTGGAATTCATTTTGAGGCATTATTTTAAAGGTGTTTGGAGGGGAATTTGAAAGAGAGCTCAGATGAGTCCCTGCTTCTGCTTTGCCATCTTGGATCTTTCCTTCCCTCTCCCCTAACCCCATCAAGGATTTATCAAGCAGTTATTATTTGCCAGCCATTGTACTAAGTGCTGGGCATGATAACAACAGAAAAACACAGTCCCAGTTTGAAATGAGTTTATATTCTAATGAAGGAGACGATGAGGACACACATAAGTATATGCAGAATAAATATAAAGAGAATAAACACAAAGCAGTTTAATATAAGGTAGTTTGGGAGGGAGAAAGGGCATTGTCAGTTTGGGGGATCAGCGATCTTGTGGGAGAGATGGATCCTGAGCTTCTTCAAAGTTCTGGGATTCTATGATTCTGGGCCTCCTGAGGTCCTGACTCTAGGAATCAGATCAAGACTCTGGATTGTGATTTTTCTCTAATTATTTTGTACCTGAGTCAGGGATTGGAGCCCATGGAAGTCCTTGGTGGTTTAGATTTGAGAATCAATAGGCTTGGGTATTAGGCCTAATTAAAGGATTTATAAAATGTGTATTTGATGGGGTTTTTCTCAGTTAAACTCTGTGATTAAAAAGGAGAGAATTCAATTAACAGACTATATTTAAATAACATTAGGGGTCCATTCCCAAAGCCTTGGCTTGGTGGGGGGGGGGGTGTTGTGAAATCCTAATGTCACATGGGCTAAGGACCTTTCAAGCCTGAGATAAATTTGAGTTATTATTATCATACAATCCAATGCTATAAGCATTTACTAAGTGCCTACTATATGCCAAGTGGGGCTCGATATACAAAAATGGCACCATCTCTGCCCACAAGGTGTTTGCATTCTACTGGGGGAGGGAGAAATAGCACATGTACACAGATAAGTGAATAACAAGTACACAAAAAGTAAATAAAACGTCATTTCAGTAGGTAGAGAAGAGACTTGATAAATGGGTTGGAGGGGGACCAGGAAAGGCAGGCCTCTGGAAGGAGGCAACTGTTGGGTTAAGCCTCTAAAGGAGCTTGGGATTCTAAGAGGTTGAAATGTGGAGGAAGAATGTACCAGGTATAGGGAACATGCCATGTATAAGGAAAAAGCACATAGAGGGTGTGATGGGAAGTGATAATAAGATCATTTTAGAGAGTAAGGTGGAGTCCAATTGTGAAGATAAAGTGTGAATATTTGCCCTCCAGTTAGCATCTTGGATTCACAGAATCTGGAGGCAGGAAAGGACTGAAGAGGGCACATAGTCAGAGTGTGACTTGAGTGGGAGGCAGACACCTGTGTGTACCTGGGCTGCTGTGGGACCTCTGTGAGCCTGATCCAGGCCTGAGTGCAGAGATATCTTTTGGGATTGCTTTGCCCCTACTTTTGACATGGTTGGCAAACCCCTTGTCCTGGACGGTGTCTTCTTCCCTGGCTCCCATGACACTAAATTATCCGGGTTCTTTTTCTATTGACATGAAGCCAGAGAACTAGAGCCACACACGAATTCAGGATGGTCCCTGTTGACTTGTTTTCTTATTGACTCAGACTAAATAGGCCCAAACTCAAACTCCCCAGCTCCCTGGTGGTCTGTAAATGAGCGCCCAATGCACAGCACTGCTCTGGGCATCACAGGACCCTGGCAGTTGGTAGCTAAACTAGCCAGCCATCTTCTCTATTCCTGTGACTAACGAGCTTGTTTCTCCAATTCCCCTAGTTTCTGTGGCTCAGACATCTTCCAATCCTCATCTCTTCCCCTGCTTACTAGTCCCTACACTCTTGTTGCTATCCAGCTCAATCTCACCTTTCTCTTCTTCTCTTTCTCTGTTCTTGTCTTCCATGGTGCCCTCTGAAACTCCAGTTCTACTATGAATAAACTCCTATTCACCTTAGATCTTCTTTTTTCACTCCTTTAGTTCCCTCTGGCAGACTTAGTATCTTGTTCTGGTCCTGGCTCACTAGGAGTATTTGGCATACTCTTTGCTGCTGCTCATTGCTGCTTCTAAACCCCCTCTCTTCTACCTTCACTCAGGAACATGCCGTCTTTGAGGTACCTCAAGGTCTAGATCCTTGCTGCTCTAATCTGTAATCTGACGGGTCACTTTTCTGCTTACCTGAGGAGAACAGTGCCTGGCTTACAGTCTTCCCTGTCCTAAATCCTACCCTCATTCTTGGGGACTTCAATATCATCCCCAAAGCCTTGGCCTCTCACTCCATCAACTTCTTCAACTCCTGTGACTTTCACCTTCTCTCCGTCGCAGGTACCCACAAGTTATATGTACCTTAGATATCACCATCACCCACAACTGTGCTGCTTTTGAATTTTTGAATCCCTTTGCAGATGGAATAAAGCTAGGAGGAAGAGGTCATACTTTAGAATCAGATGATGGTGTTAAAACCCTTCTTTCATCCCTGTCAACAGGCTGCTTCCCCACTGGCTATAAAGATACCCATGTCTCTCCCAACCTCAAAAAACCCTCACTTGATCAGTCCATCTTCACTAGCCATCATCCTGGATTTCTCCTCTTTTTTGTGGTGAATCTCCTTCTGGCTTTATTCCATCTGCAAATTTGAAAAGGAAGCCCCCAAGTTCTCTGGTCACCAGATTTCTCCTGTATAAAACAAAGGGGTTGAAGTAGGCAAACCCCCAAATCCTTCCACCTTTACCCCTATGCTCTAAGGACTCCTGCTTTTCCCTGAGGGTCACACAGTTAATCACGGGGTGACTTGAGCCCAGGCAAGGTCACCTTGGCTCTCAGGCCAATTCCATCCACTATTCTGAGCTGCTTTGCTAACTTTTCCACAATTTAAGCAACTCTCTAAGTCACGGGTCCTTAACCTGGGGTCCAGGATCTCATTTTAGAGGATACTTTGGTGACTGTGTTGTAACATAATTGGTTTCCTTTGCAATAATGCTTTATGTGTTTAAAAGCATTCTTTTGAGAAGGGTTCCCTCGGCTGCCCAAGGGGTCTAGGACACCAAAAAGGTGAGGGCCTCTTGGTCCAAGGATAGGCGGTTCAGAGAAGGGGCCGACCTACATCAGGACAAGAGAGCCCTGCCCTGGGAGAGCCCTGTATCCATAAAATCACAGGTCCAGGCCTCAGCTCTCATCCCTATCCCAGAGGAAGGTAAAAGGCAGAAGGTAAATTCCCTGGGTCTGTGTCACTTTTGTCTCTGTCATCAGTGGGTGCTTAATAAATGCTGGTTGGTGGATTGATGGAGCTAGAGTCCCTAGTTGGGTCATTTCAGTAGACTACGGACCCTGATTAGGATTTGGGGACTAAAAGAGAAGAGGCGGGTCTTTCCAGGCACTCCGTGACGTCACAGACACCTTCCGAACGTTCGTTGCCCGCCCCCCCTCGCGGCGGAAGCTCTGCCCCCGGCCTTCGGTCGGCCCCGCCCCCTCCCTGAGGGGCGTGGCGGCGCTGCTAGGCCACGCCCCCAGGCTCTGCAGCCCGGCCGTGGGTTACGGGTCTGGTCCTGCTCTTTCTCCGGCGGAGGAAGGAAGCCCCGCCCCCTGGAGGGAGGGTCGCGTGCCCCGCGGAGCGTTCGGAGGCTCCGCCCCTCCAGGGCCTCGCGCCGGGCCCGCCCGCGCTGCCATGGCAACAGTGTCCCCCGCGGCCCCGGCCAAGCTGCTGCTCTGGCGGGACCGAGGCAGGACCGCGGGCCCGGGCCTGGGTCCTCCGCCGCCGCCCCCTTCGCTGCCGCCGCCCCCAGCTCCCCATTCCCCTGCTCGGGCCTGCGGCCGGGGCCACCCCCATGCCGAAGATGAAGGCGCTGCAGTGCGCCCTGGCTCTGGAGATCCGCTCCGTGAGTGACCGGCCCGGCCGGGGAAACTGAGGCACGGGGGCGGGGCACGGAGCCGGAGCTGGAGCTGGGGGAAACTGAGGCACGGGGGGGCCATGGCGCCAGAGAGAGAGGAAACTGAGGCACGGGAGGAGAGGGTCCATAGAGCCAGAGATGGGGGGGAGACTGAGGCACGGGAAGAGACGGTTCATGGAGCCGGCGATAGGAGACGATTGAGGCACGGGGGAGGCACTGGGCCATGAAACTAACGCTGGAGCTGGGGGTGGGAAACTGAGGCACACTGAAGACCAGGGGTTGTAGAGGAGTTGGAGGGACTGCAACCTAGTCCCTCATTTTACAGAGAAGGAAACTGAGGCCAAGGGAGGGGGGGCTTCTTTATCCTCCCCCCTGTCCCTTCATGTCCCTAAATCTTTTAGGAGGAAGGATCTTTCTTTCTTGAAAAAGAAAACTCCCAGCACGTCTCCCTCTCCTCTCACTTGGCCCTTCCCTTAAAGTTTTTAGGAGAGAAATAACTCCCAGTCCTCTCTACTGTCAGGAGACCCCTCATTCCCACCCCCAGAAATGAGGGTCCCCTCCCCCAGTTACTATGGAATTACTTCTGGGACAATCCCTTGACAGGATTTTAGGATTGCCACCTTCTTGCCCCCAGCTGAGAGTCCCATGACTCGTCAGCTGCTGGTGTTTGTGTCTTTTGTGTTTAATTTTTTTTTCCTCGTAGCATTGAAGCCTCCCTCCCTCAATTCCCAGACCCCTTAAAGTAAATTTTTGTGGCCCTTTCTTTTCCCATCTCCTTTTTGCTCCCCCCCTTTCTGATGTCCCCCCTTGGTTTCTTTTGTCAGTGCTTTAAAGCAGGAAATTGCGGGGGTGGGGGGGAGTGGAGTGGAGTGGGGAATGACTTGCCTTAGGTTCTCTGTTGAGCCTTCCCCATTGGGAGCACCCAGAACCCTTCACCGGACTTTCTTAAAACCTCCCTCATAGACAACTTTTTGAAGACACGAAGTTTCTCAGAAGTTTCTCTCGGTTGGGCTAAGGAGACTTGGTGCTCCCCTTCTTGGGCCCAGGGACCCTGATGTATCTGTTCAGCATCAACAGCTGCATCCCCACCTTGCCCTAGAATGGGGAGGGGGGCCCCCAGTCAAGGGAGAGCTAGCTGCTCCCTGTCAGGGGCTGCTTGACCATAACCTTTGAGTGGTGCAAATACTGAGCCATCTGAAAGGAAATCATGAATGCTACTGTCTTCTACAGAGGCATGCAAAGAAACCTCTCCATTCTCCTGGCCAGGCAAGCTGAATTGAATTTTGCATATAATTTGGTCTAGCCAAAGTGGTGTTTGTTCTCCTCATCTCCCATCTCATTTACAGTTTTTGGTTTTGGTTTTTCTCAAGCTGTCCCACACCTTGGGAATAGACCCCTCCTTTCCCGTCTATTTTTTTGGGGGGGTCAGAACCTGTGTTTTCATTGGTGTAGGGCCTGTGTGCGCAGACGTCACACAGTGGTGACTGAGTGAGAGGTTAAGTGATTTTTCCCAGGATTTGCCAGAGGCAGCCCTTGAGCTCCGGTGTTCCAGGTGCAGAGGTCAGCTCTGTCCACTAGTCTGGTGACCAGGCAGTGCTGCCCCCATGCCCCATCTTAACCTTGTTTGAAATCTGACTTCTGCCTTTCTGCCATCCCCCCCACCCCATGATTGTCCTCTCCTTTCATTTCTTCGAGCTCTTTGCCTATGTCCCAAGTTAGCCCTAATTTTCTTATTTGTGTCATACTTTCCGTGTTTCAGAGAATCTGTGATTTCCCTCAGGTGAGCATTTGGCCCATGAGTGCCTTCTCCTTCGGTGTCACTTTTCATCCTCCAACCTCCTGTGAATTTCCCCACAGAAGATTCACCCTGCACACGGGCAGCCTTTCAAGGGGCCCTTTAATATTCCTTGGGTGCCATGGTGGCCCTCAGACTGAGTGAATGAATGAATGAATGAATGAGTGAGTCAATGAGCAGCCCCTTCCATCTGCCTGGGCAGTAGCCATCATGCCGTTTCCAGAGGACGGTCCTCATTGACATCATGTGCAGCCTCCCTATGTTTGCCTCTCTTGGTTGCCCTTTGGGCCACCTACCAGGGAATTTTGACCCTTTGGAGGACATGATGTTGTGTATTTCTATTGTAATCCTTTGTGTCCGGAGCTAAATAATTTTTTCATCTCTATCATTACATTGACAGAGATGCGGCATTCATTTTCCTTTCGACAGAGTGTAAGTTCTTGAAGAAAACGTTTGTCTCCATCCCCAGTGCTTAGCAGAGTGCCTGGCACCCAGGAGATGAGTAGTGGTGCCTGTGGGTTGATTTATTTCAGGTTCTTGATCTTGGGTATGTCCTTGGGGAGTTTGTAAAATGTGGAATTGGACTACTTGGTTTTCTGCAATTCAGTTTTTTAATCATCTGAACTGTCTTGTAAAAAGTTTGCAAATTTGCATTGAGATCTCTACTTGAAATACAATGAAGGAATTCCACAAATCATGGCTTTGCTGTGATATTTGCATCTGTGCATCCTTGTGCAGATCATTGTTATTGCAGACAGAATAATGCCTCACCCTATCCTCCATTCAGATGATCTTCCCAGAGCTCAGTCTGGCCCTGTCCCTGCTCTGTTCCGTAAACTCGAGGGCTCCCGGTTACGTCGAGTGTCGAATACAAAATCCTGTTTAAAGCCCTTTGTGATCTGAGCTTTTCCTACCTTTCCAGTCTTCGTACGTCCTCGTACATTCTCTGTGACTCAGCGTCCAGGGCCTCCTCGCTGTTCCTTACCCCAGATACTTTGTCTCTGGGCTCCAGGCGATTTCTCTGGCTGTCTCTCCTGCCTGCAAGGCTCTGTCTCCTCATCCCTACTGCGTGGCTTCCCTGGCTTCTTTCAGGGCCCTGCTGAAAATCCCACCTTCTACAAGAAGCCTTCCCTGGTCCGCCTTGATGCAAGGGCCTTCCTGCTGTTATTATCTCCAGCTTCTTTTGTCTGTGTCTTGTCTGTGCGTAGTTGTTGATGCGTCCTCTTCCCCGTTGGACTGAGAGCTGCTGGAAGGACGGACTGCCTTTCTTTGTGTGCCCAGTGTGTAGCTTGGTGCCTGGCACACAGTAGGCACACTTAATGCTTGCTGGCTTGCCTTGAGTACAATGCTGTCCCCACCTTACTTCCTGAATTTGTCCTCAGGACTCTGTGTTAGGCAAAATGGTAGATGGGGAAGTTTATCTATGACATAAGGGAAGAATGCTGACCTTGGAGCCTTGGCCTGGGAGCTTGAACCCTGCCTTGGCCACTTCCAGTCTGCCATCCTTTGACCTCAGTTTTCCCTTCTCAGACCTGAGGGGCAGGACCAGAGGATCTCCGAGATCCCTGTTAGTGCCAGATTGAGCAGCCTTTCAGCAGGATTGGAAGCTGCACTGAGGGGTTTTATTGTGGCTTATAAATGCAGTTCTTGGGACTTAGAACATTACTGGAGGCCCCTACTGCATTCCAGCATCCTGTCTCTCAAATTGCTTCTTGTGTGCAAATGTCTTCTGGTATCATTCATCGGAAAAAATATCATTATGGATGTGGTTGAGGTCCTTCAGCACTTCCCCGTCCTGTTGGTCACTGGACCGCCATTGTGCGTGGACAGGTTACTCTGTAGGTGTGATGAGCTGTGTGAAGCTTAGAAGCTTCTGCCCACTTTGGCGCCATGCCACTGCAGAAGGAATGAATGAATGAATGAAAAAGCACTCATTAAGCGTTTGCTATGTTCCTGGCAGTGTGCTGAGGGTTAGGGATACAAATATAATTAAGCAGCACAGTTCCTGCCCTTGAGAAGCTTACATTCTGCTGGGTGGGGCTAGACAACCCAGAATGGCCGGCTTGAGAGGATGAGGAGGGGAGTGGTTTGGAAACCTGAGGGAGGTGAGGTGGAGGCCTGGCTGTCTTTCAGGGCCCCCAGGGGCAGGGCTGAGGAGAAAGGCCAAAGTGAAAGGGGCATGGTTTGGAAATGGCAGGAAGTGGACATGTACCACATGTTTACCAATGTCTGGAATCACTATGCCTAAAGAGATGTTAATTCCCCAAAGATCACCCTTCTGCCTCTCAGGATCCCCTGCAGGAGGCCTTGGAGGAAGGATTCATTGGGTGGACTTTCCAATAAAGGCCATTAAATTGACACATCAAAGCGTGGCATTCACTAAACAAGGAGATGTTTATATTAAATTTTCGAATGAGTGACCTCAAAAAATTACTGCCATGTGTTATGGATGTTGCTTCTGGGCCTATTTTGGTTACCCCCAAGACTGCTCTGCTATATTGAGGTGGAGATGGGGTAGGATAGCAACACTGGAGCACTGGAGGACCTTTCCATGCCTTCCAGCCCTGGAATCCTTTCCCCCCTGCCTTCCCAGCCAGCCGGGCATTTGGAAGGCTGACCTCGATTTTCCTTCAGCCTTGGTAGTATTGTGATAATGTGGGAATCGAAGAAATTAGAGGAAGGTTTTCTCCTCTGACACGGAATTCCCTACAGCAGCTTTATGGAAAAGCAGAGCCACCCAGTTTAGGAGAAAATAATGTGTTGCCAGGGGGAATATATGCATTTTCTCCGAGATCCCTTTGAGAATTGTGTGTTGTGTTGCATAACCTGCTTTTAAAGAGTAGTGTCAAAACTGTACTTATCTGTTGAGCCTAGAATAACATACTTTGGAGCACATTTCACCTGGAAGGCAAAAATTCATTGCTACATTGGTCTGAATATAATCCGCCCTCAAAACTTGAGACGTATTAGGGGAGTCTAAACTACGATATTGGGGAGCAACAGGCCTGCACTTAGAAGGGGTGCAGAGGACCTTGTCCAAACCCTTCTGAGGGGAAACCAAAAGTCCCAAGTGGAGGCTTTTCACCCTGGAAGTTATCAATGTGGTTAATGAACTTACCAGCTCTATGTATAGCTATAAATATACTCCAAGAAACTAGTTTTCATTTATTAGCTCCCCCTACTTTCTTCTTTTGGGGGCAGTTATATGGCACAATGGATAGAGTGCTACACCTGGAGTCAGAAGGCTCATCTTTGTGAGTTCAAATCTGGCCTCAGATGCTTCCTAGCTGTGTGACCCTGAGCAAGTCACTTTAACCCTGTTTGCCTCAGTTTCCTCATCTGTAAAATGAGCTGGAGAAGGAAAGGGCACACCATTCCAGTATCTTTGCCAAGAAAACCACAAATGGGGTCATGAAGAGTCAGACATGATTGAAAAATGACTGAATTTCTCTCTTTCTCTATCTCCTCTCCTTCCTCCCTCCTTCCAACTTTCCTCCCCTTCTTCTTCCCTCCTTCCCTTCCCCTCCTTCCTTTCCTTCCTTCTTTCCTACCTTCCTTCCTTCTTTCTTTCTTTCCTTCCTTCCTTCTTTCCCTCCCTGCTTCCTCTCTTCCCTTCTCTTATTTGACAGATAAGGAAACTGAGGCCTAGAGAGGTTAAGGAAGGCTTTGCTTGACTTCACAGTAAATCTCAGATCTAGGAATTGCACCTGCCCCAAGTCTAGCACTCTTGTCATTACAGCAGATTGGTGATGTGTCTCTTCCAGAACTTTTGAAATTTGCAGTTAGCTAATAAAATTGATTAAGCACCTACTATGTGTCAGACAGTGGGCTGAGTGCTGGGGATACACAAGAGGCAAAAGACTGTCCTTGCCCTCAAGGAGCTCACAGTCCACAAGCAAACAAATATATACATATAAGTATATATGGGATAAATAGAACATAATTACAGAGAGAAGTCTTAAGAGGGGTTGGGAAGAGCTTTTTATTGAAGATGGGATTTAAGTTAGGCCTGGAAGGAAGCCAGGGAAGCTGGGAGGTGGAGAGGAGGAAGGAGAGCATTCCGGGCATGGGGCACGGCCAGAGAGAAGGCTCGGGGTCGCCTTGAGCTGAGAGATGGAAGCCGAGGTCACTGTGTCTGGGGTGGGGGAGAGATGTAAGAAGAGTGGAAAGGAGGCAATGGGCTGCCTTACGAAGGGCTCTGAAGGCCAGACAGAGCATTTTGTGTTTCATTTTGGAGGCGATAGGGAACCACTGGTGTTTATTGAATAGGGGAGTGATATGATCAGACCTGTGCCTTAGCAAAGTCATTTTGGCCCCTGAGTGGAGGATGGACTGGAGTGGGGAGAGACCTCAGGCAGGCAGATCCACCAGCAGCTACTGCGGTAGTCCAAGCTTGAGGTGATGGGGGCTTGCACGTGGGGGTACAAGCAATGTCAGAGGAGAAAAGTGGGGGGTATTTGAGAGATGGCGCAGAGGTGAAATTAACAGGCTTTGGCAACAAATTGGAATATGGGGGTGGGGATGGGGTAAACGATAATGAGGGGTTGAGGTTGACTTAGGTTCTGAGCCTGAGGGACCAGGAGGATAGTGCTGCCCTCTTTGGTAATAGGGAAATGAGAAGAGGGGTAGGGTTTGGAAGAAAAGATAATTATTTCAATTTTGGACATGTTGAGTTTCAGATTGGTCTACTGGATGGGTTGAGATGTTTGAAAGGCAGTTTGGAGATGCAAGATTGGAGGCAGCAGAGAGGTTGGGGCTGGATAGGTAGATTTGAGAATCATGAGCATGGAGATGGCAATTCAGTCCATGGAGGCTGATGAGAGATCACCAAATAAAATAGAATAGAGGGAGGAGAGGAGGGCCCAGACAGAACCCTTGGGACACCTACAATTAGAGAGTGTGATATGGAGGTGGATCCATCAATGGAGACTGAGAAGAAGCAGTGCCAGAGATAGGAGGAAAACCAAGAGAGAGTAGTGTCCCAGATATCTAGGGAGAAGAAGGTATCAAGAAGAGTAGAGTCGTAAACAGTGTTAGAAGCTGCAGAGAGGCTGAGGAGAATGAGGATGGAGAAAAGACCATTGGCTTTGGCAACTAACTTTGGAGAGAGGAGTGTCAGTGGAATGATAAGGTTGAAAGACAGATTGTGGTAAGAGGTTAAGAAGAGAGAGAGGAGAGAAAGAGGGGGTGCCTGTTGTAGATGGTCTTTTCAAGGAGTTTACCTACAAAGGGCAGAATGGATACTGGAAGAGAGTTAGCAGGGACAGAAGGGTCAGGTGAACGTTTTTTGAGGATGGGGAGACATAGGCATGTTTGTAGACAGTAGAGAAGGAGCTAGTTAACAAGGAGAGATTGAAAATAAGGAAGAGAGTGAGGATTACAGAGAAGGCAGTCTGCTGGGGAAGAGATGGACAGAATGGGATCATTTGAACAAGTAGACGGGTCAGCCTTGGTAACAAGTAAGATTACTTCTTCATGTGAGATGGGTAAAGGAGGAGAGAGTAGCAGAAGGCACATGAGCGATAGGAGATGAGGAAGAGGGGAAGAGAAGGAGCTCATGGTGACTGGTCCAAATTTTTTCAGTGAAATATGAGGCAAGTTTCTCAGCTGAGAGAGTGGGGGGAGGAGGAGCCATGGGAGGTTTGAGGAGGAATGGGAAGGTTTGGAAGGGCTGCTGTGGAGAGCAGGAGAGTGAGTTCACAGGTGAAATAGAGTAGGATTGCCGAGCAGCAGGGAGGGCCCAGTGGAGGTTGTGGAACATCAATTTGTAGAGGACCCAGTCGAAGTGGGTGTGTGATTTCCTCCATCTTTGCTCAGTTATGTGTGTCTGGGAGTGAAGGCAGTAGCAGGTGGGAGTGATCCCGGGCTGAAGTGTGGCAGGGCACCCACTTAATGATGATAATTTCAGAGTTCTAGATGTCACCAATTACCTTGTACTGCTTTCTGTTTTTGTCCCTGATCCTGCTGCCTGTGTTGTTGCTATTCTTCTCAACTCTGGGTCTGCCTCTTCTTTGGTTGACAACCCAGAATATAGACTTTGCTGCCTCAGACAACCCACTGGCAAACGTTTTAAGAGCTCAGTGGCGTGGTGGGTTGGAGTTAGGAAGACCTGAATTTAAATTCTGCCTCACATGCTTACTGCTGTGTGATCCTTAGATTTGAACAGAGAAATGGAGAACAAGAAGCAGATCAGTGAAATCTATCAGTGACACCAGTTTTAAGAAGTAATAAATCCTTTTCTCCTTTGGGCACACTTCTTTTGGAGTACCCAAGGCCAGAATTTGCCTTTTTTCCTTCCAAAGGACATGTTATCTTTTCCTTTCAGTATATAAACACTGAATCATCAGCTAACCTTTTTGAGCTATTTAGAACTGTTTGCCTTTATTAAATTTCTCATATGCTGTATATTTTAAAAACTCTCTCCCACTATGATTTTTCAAGAGTCATAAGTTCTGTTAAAAGTCTACTTTTTTTTCCTGTAAGACTAAACTCAGCTTTTCAGGATATTATCCTTGGGTACAAGCCATTTTCCTTTGCTTTTTGGTATATTATATTCCATTTTTGAAGTGCCTGATCATCTTTTCCTGAATGCTTAACAATATATTTTCTTTTACTTTGGAGTATAGAAGTTAGGTACTTCCAATTCTGGGAGAGTTAAACCAAGGGTTCTTTTCTAAGGCTGTTCTGTGAATTTTATCAGTCTTTATCTTTATTTCCGGTATTTTTTGATAAACTTAACTTTTCAGCTATCCTGAAGTATGGCATTCAGGCTTTTCATTTCATCATGAATTTTATATGATGGCCCTCCTATAAAAATCTAATTCTAGAATTAGGTTAGAATTCTAGAATCTATCTGTACTAGATATAAGAATATAATTCTTGGATTATCTTGCTGAATCCTGGCTACTGGATCAATTGTTTTTGGTTGTAGAAACTTCATGTGTCCTTCAAGTTTTGCTGTCTTTTGATGTTGTTTTTTAATAGTTCTTATTATAATTTACATTTTTAACATATCTCCTCTATTCTTTTTTTCTCTAGGATGTCAGATTTATTAAAATTTTCCAACTTCTAAACAAACTTTTTAATTAAAATTAAAATTTCATTCCTCATATTTTGCTTCTTTTTCTTCAGACTTCCAATTACTCCATGAGTTCTTGTGGCCTTTTCTTATTACATGGTATTTTTTTTTATTGTATTAGGAGGTTTTTTCATTTTCTTAATCTTTCTGCCAATTTTTCTATTTTACTCTAATACATTCCAATAGGCATTTGTTAAATGCCTACTACATGCAAGGTATTGTGCTGGATACCTGTGGATTCAAAGACAAAAATGAAAAATGGTCCCTGTCCTCAAACTCGAATTCTCCAGGGGAGGGGGATATAATGCACAAGCAGATAAATTTGCCATCCCTCTGCTGTCTTTTATGGTAATCTCATCACCATATGGTGATAGGTTCAATGTTCACCCCTATGTAGATGATTCCCAGATCCACAAATCCAGCGGGAGTCTCTCTCGAGCCTCAATCCTGCATCACCAGCTGCCTCTTGGGCATCTTGTAACGGGTGTCCTGTACACATCCTGAACTCAACGTGCCCAAAACAAAACTCATTCTCTTCCCTGGCCCAGCCCCTATAGTCATCTCTCTTCTCACCTTCCCTGTTGCTGTCTGGGATACTGCCATCTTCCCATTCCTTCAGGCTCTTCACTCTCACTCCTTTCTGCCTTCATAACAACTCTCAAACGGCCCTACTTGTCCACTTTTAAACAGCTACCACCCTGGTTTGGGCCCTCCTCACCTTTTGCCTGGGCTTCTGCACCAGCCTTCTAATTGGGCTCCCTGCCTCCAATCCATCCTCCATTCAACCACTAATTTCTCCAGAGTGTGGCTCTGACCACTCACAGCCCTGTTCTAGTGGCTGCCTGTTGCCCCTTTGTTTGGCCTTTAAAATGCTTCGTAAAGTGGCCCCATCCTACCTTCAGTCTTCTTATACCTTTCCTTCCTTCATGGACTCTACATTCTAGCTGCACTGATCTCCTTGTAGGTCCTCCTATGTGACCTTCTGTCTCCCCTCACGGTGCCAGAACGCTCTGCTCCCTCACCTCTCCCTCTTTGTTTCCTTGACTTCTTCCAAGACTTAGCTCAAATCTCCCCTATTTCAGGAGACCTTTTCTGGGCTCCCCAGATAGTAATGCCTTTTCCTCTCAGTTTGCCTTCCCTATGTGCCTTATGTATCTTGTATATTTGTGGTTATTTGCATGATAGTTTCCCCATTAAAATGTAAGCTCTCTGAAGTCAATGACTGTCTTTTACCTCCCCCTTCTCATTCCCCCCTCCCCCCCTTTTTGAAACCCTTGGGACTTACTGAAATTCTTGGGACATAATAAGTACTTAATAAACGCTTGTTGACTTGACCGGAAAGTATACACAGGATAAACTGAGGAGGAAGAAAGGAGCATTAAGAACTGAAAGGGGAGCCGAGGCAGGCAGGGCCTGGATCAGGGTGGTCCCTGAGTGAAGAGAGAGATAAGGGTGAGGAAAGGGAACAGCTGGGGATATGGCTGAGATTTCAGGTTGATGGTCTTCTTGATGAAACAGGAAATTAGAAAGAAAGGAATGGGATTAGAGGGAGATAATAAGTTAGTTCTGTTTTAGAAATTTTGAGTTCGTGATCTATAGGGGGCATCCCACTGATGGTGTGGGACCATCCCATCAGAGCCAGACTAGGGCTGGATCTACAGATTTGAGAGTCTTCTGCAGAAGGTGAAAATTGACCTTTCCGGGGTTGATCGTCACCAAGAGAGAATGTGGGGAGTGGGAAGAGGAAAGCCCCAGGACTCAGTCTTGGGAGATAGCCACATTTAAAGAGCAGCGCTTTGATAACGTCCCAGAAGAGACTCTGAGGAGGGGGAAATAGCCTTCCTTTCCTCTCTTTTAGTTTTAACAATTTTATTTGGTGCACTTCTAGAAGTGATAAGGGAGGAACTGGACTTATAGGCTTATATAAGACTTAACAGAAATTTTCTTAATTTTAATTATTCTCATACTCTGGCAAAATAAGGATGTTTCATTTAGCTTTGCCCAGTTTAGGCTTTTTCAATTTAAAATTTTAAAGTGGCTTCTGTTTGTACTTAGCAGGATTCTTCGGTTTTTTTTTTCCCTAGTGTATAAGAGTTCATTTTATAAGCCACATTTATGTGATCAAAATGCTCATTGTCTTGCCTTCCCCAGGTATCTTGTCCACGTCTACAGCTGAAAGACAAGGAGGACGTCTATCTCAGCGTTTGTGTTTTTGGCCAGTACAAAAAGACACCATGTGTCCCTCCTATCTTTCCACTGGTCTTCAATGCCAGAATGGTGTTTGAAAAGGTATGCTCCCTTGTGAATTCAGCCCTGTCAGACCATGTTTACATGTCATGGGCAAGGTATATGCTAATACTCCCAGAGTTTCCAGGCTTAGGGGAACACAGGCATTTGACTGCATTGGGAAACATGAAAAGAGCCTCACCATTTGTTAGGAAAAGTACAAATCTAATTTTACTTCTCAAAAACGTCCCTTCAGTATTACACCTGTGACTTGATTTAGTCCAGAATCAATTCCTTTGTGCCACAGAAAGCAGAATTTTCAGGCACTGAAAATATGAGTAATTTTAAACAATCATACTACAAAGTGTTCTTTGTTACACCTGTGGGTATCCCACACTGAGCTGATGCTTACCTTGCCTTCTCATCTTGGCTAAAGTCCAACTCATGATCATGGTCCTATGGACTTGTACTTTATTAAACTGGAAAGGTGTGACTGGAGTGGAGATTTAATAGCTTACAACTAAACCTTTGTCATCAGTTCCTGAATTTAGGAATTATCCCCCTTAATTATCAGGTGTCTTTTTCTTAGTGCAAGTTTATTTCTCAAGTTGTCATAGTTGATTAAAAAAAAAACAAGTGTTTCTTGAAACATTAATAATATACTACAGGAAGGGAATAGTGATAGATACTACAGAAGAAGGTGTTATTGCCTTGTGGATCCTTAGAGCTAATTCTTGTTCCATCTGGGGACAACTGCCAGATAACATTCCTTGAAACTCAGCATCAACAGCCGTATTTCTGCTCACTCTTTCCATCCTGAGTCCTAGGGCAGCTAATATTTACGTAATACAAGCACCTTTGTCAACAGCTGTGGGAAGAAGAGACAGGGTAACAATGGAGACAAGACAGGAGGGTTTCTCACGATGGGACAGGAAGGACTTTGTGAGGATGACAGAAAAGGAACTCACATTCGTTGTCTTTGGACTAGCTCATGGCACTTGCTGCTGGCTGATGGAGTCCTCTCTCTGCCCCTTTTCTCACCAGGTGTTCCCTGATGCCATAGACCCGGGAGATGTAGTAGCGCAACTCAAATGTAAGTTTTGTTTTTATTTTTTTTAATTCCTTGTTTCTGACTGTCCACTGATTATTCGTTTTTCTATAGGGTTTGAAGACTGATCTTTGACTGCTTTCGTCATAACACATGGGATTGCTGTTGAAGCTTGACAGGGGAGGGAGCTGAGGCTCATGGAAAGGAAGGAATTGGCCAAGCTAGTCCACAGGCCTAGTCTCTAGATCAGAAGCTGGGCCTTTTACTTCTCTACCTCCTTGCTTGTTGTTATAGCAACCTAAGACTTCAGAAGCATCATTTTCAAAGACAACCCCTTCCTCCCCTCCTCAGGATGTAGGTAGTGCAAATGGTACTATTTTATGGACGAGGAAATAGAGAGTAAGGAGGATTAGATGGATTGTCTAGTCTGCAGCTTCCCAGGAGGTCAGAGCTGGAACTTGAACTCACACAGCTCTCAGCCATCTCCACACTGCACGTTCTTCACTCAGGCCACCTCTTCCCCATTAGAGAATTGGATTCTGCTCCTGGAACCACACCGGGCTTTGATAGGCCAGTATTGGCTTTATTTTGCCCAGATCCAAAGCTCCAGAGCATTTCCAAGCAGTTTTTGTCCAATAATTGGGTCCTCACCTCAATCAATGGGGGTCATTAGGTTTACTGGATGCTCTTTTACTATGTCTGTTTTGCTTCTGGGTGCTGTGTTAGGTAATCTGTTTCACTGATTGACTTGTGTATGTTTTATCCATAACCAAATTGTTTTGATGATCACTATTTTGTAGTATCATTTGAGATCTGCTACTGCTAGGCTCCTTTACTTATCGTGATTTTTGTTATCTCCCTTGAGAATCTTGCCTTTTTCATCCAGATGAATTTTTTAAATTAAAATTTTTTGGCAAGACAATTGAGGTTAAGTGACTTGCCCAGGGTCACAGAACTAGTAAAGTGTCAAGTGTCTGAGGCCAGATTTGAACTCAGGTCCTCTCGACTCCAAGGCTGATGCTCTATCCACTGCACCACCGAGCTACTCCTTAAATTTTTTTATCAACAAAAATCTATCTTCTCTCCCTCCTTTGTCCCTCCACCCCCAATCGAGAAAGAAAGAAAAACAAAGCCCATGTATAAACATGTATAGTCAAGCAAAAAAGAATTCTGCATTGGCTGTGTCCCAAAGAAAAAAGCGTCACTGCACTCTGAGTCCTTCACCTCTGTCTCTGGAGGTAAGCAGCACGTTTCAAGAGTCCTCTGGAGTTTTGGTCAGTCACCGTGTTGGTTGGAGATCTCGAGTCTTTCCAAGTTGTCTGCCTTCACAGTATTTTTCTTATTGTCTAAATTGTTCCCCCAGTTATGTTCACCTCACTCAGCATCAGTTTACTCACGTCTTATTGGGTCTGTCTGAAGCTCTTCCCTTCATCATTTCTTACCAGGTAATAGTATTCTGTCATATTTATGTATCGTAACTTGTTCAGCCATTCCCCATTTGATGGTCAGCTCCTCAGTTTCCAGTTCTAGGCTATTACAAAAAGAGCTGCTATAAATTTTTTTATACATCCTTAGAGACTGTTTTGTTTAGGATTAATCCCTTCATTAATCTGTCTTTCCTCTTACCCTCCCTTTTCCCCTTTCCCTCTTATTTTCCTATTGAGTGAAATGCATTTGTGTACCCAGCTGTGTGTGTGTGTGTGTGTGTGTGCACTCGCGCGAGTGTATGTATTCTTCCTTATTTTGACCAGTTCAGATGAGAGTGTGGTTCAAGTGACCCCTCCATTCTCACTATCCTTTCCTTCTTTTTATATTCTTTTTTGTACTTGTTTACTTCAGTTATGTGAGAAAATTTTCTTTAACCTGACTTTCCCTCTCTCACCCCTCAATGTGTCTTTTTCCCCTCCCTTTCCTTTTTTCTGTTATGATCATCAGAATGTAATGAAATCCCTCTCTGGCCCTGTGTCATATTTGGCTCCCTCTATGAGCCCTCATATTAGTGTTCTGAGGGAATACTTGCATTGTCTTCCCTACTAGAAAGTATATGCTTCATCATTCTGTAGTCCCTTATAATTGCTCACTCCCATGTACCTATTTGTTTTGCTTGACTGTTGGGTTTGTATTTCAGAGTTTCTACTCAACTTGGGTCTTTTCATCAGAAATGCTTGAAAGTATTCTATTTAATTTAAAATCCTTTTTTTTCCTCCTGTAGCATCATGCTTAGTTTTCTTGGTAAATTATTCTTGGCTGTAAGCCTATATGCTTTGCCATTTGTAATGCCATATTCCAGGTTCTCTATTTCTTTACAGTGTAGTGGTGGCTGCTCAATCATGTGTGACCCTGACTGTGCCTCCTCCTTGAATTCTTACTTTTTGACTCTGTGCCGTATTTTTTCTCAGATTTGGAAGCTTTGGATTTTGGCTATAATGTTTCTGGGAGTTTTCATTTTGAAGTTTGTGTCAGGAGGCAACTGGTGATTCTTTCTATTTCTACTTTGCCTTCTGGTTCTAAGAGATTTGGGAAGGTTTCTGTTTTGATTTCTTGAAATATGATGTCTAAACTCTTTTTTTGGTCATGGCATTTAGGTAGTCCAATAATTTTGAAAATATCCGTTATCTTTTTTCGTTTAGTTGTTTTTGCTGTGAGATATCTTACAGTTGCTTCTATTTTCAAAAATCTTTTGACTTAGTTTTAATATTTCGTGTTGTTTTATGGAGTGTTTAGTTTCTATTCCATTCTGATTTTCAGGGAGTTGGTTGCTTGGGCAAGGTTTTTTTACCTCTTGTGCCAAGATGTTAATTCACTTTCCAATTCTTTCTTCCATAGCGCTCATTTCTTTTCCATTTTTTCCCATTAGCACTCTTATTTCATTTACAAAACCATTTTAAAGTCTTTTTAAAATTCTTGCTTCATTTCTTCTGGGAATTCTAGTTGGACTTTGTGTTCAAGCTGTGTTTCTCTTTGAGATTTTGCTTGTGGATACTTTGAAGCCAAATGTGTTTAGAACTTTCGTGTTGGTGAGTCAGCAGTTTGAGCAGTCTAGAGAGGGATGGAGATGTCACTGGCTTGGGCCTCCTCCCTAAAATGGAGGTTCTGGGAGGAACCAGCCAATTTGGGGGGATGGACCTTTGCCAGGCTCATTTCTCACTGTGCCCCTTTAGAATCCCTTTGTAATTTGATGAAAATGGATTCTTTCCCTTCCTTTTGTGTGCTCTGTGCTTACTGCCCCTGAGATCGTGTGTATCCTTCATGGGGCTGTAGGGTCCCTTGAAACTTCTCAAGTTCCCACAATCAGATGCAGTCCTCCCTCCCCCTTTTAAAATCCTTTTGCTGCTGTTCCCTTTTGACAAAGAAAAGCAGTTAAACAAAGATACCCATTAGTGTGACACTGTCCTGGGAGTTCCTGGCCTGTCCACTGGGAGGGCTGAGATGTTTCCCTGCTCCTTTCCTGGAAACTTCCTTGGTCATTACATACTCTGGGTCAGGTTTCCTTTAGTGATCCTTCACACATAATTGTAGCCACAGCACACATTGTCCTCTTGGTTCTACTTGTTTTTCTCTGAATCAGTTCATACAAATCTTCCTACCTTTCTCTGAATTTCTCAGATATTTGGAGCATCATGTGTAAGGAAGGGTGGGTTGGCCAGAGACCTGCTGAGGGTGTGGAAATGTACGTTTGCCTTTTTCCCTGGTAACTGCTCTAATTTGCTAAAAAAAATAACTTAGGGCTGACCCGGCTTTGTTTACTCATGAAAAATCTGTTTGCTTTCTTTGCAGATGACACAGCAGTGTTTGAGTTGATACAGCTTGTTCTGCCAGGTATGAAATTGATTCTGTTCCTAAGACCACATGGGGTATGTGTGGGGAGCCAGTTCACAGTGGAATGACCTTTTTCATCTCCCCTACCCCAGGCTCACCCCCATCCTTGCAATAGCATCCTTGCAATACCAAGGATTACAGGTGTGCACCATCATAATCTTCTGGGGGCTTTGTTGATGGTAATAGGTTGTAGGTGTCTACATGTCATGTAAAACTGAATTGTAGTTTAAAAAACATTCTTTTGTCACCCCAGATTACTTGCTGAATGTGTGAAAATATCCCGACTTTAGAGATAAGAAAGCAAGTCATAGTTGCTGATAATTAATAGTTTGATATTCTGAGTCATTGGCATGGGTTTTCTCTGAACTGACGTTGTTTGCCATCCCCTTCATACCTTAGCAGATAGTTTCATATTTAGCTATGGCTGAGAAAAATGGATTACCTCATGACCAGACCTTTGGTGATGAGTCTCCCAGAACTTTTCTTGGCCTGTCTGCCGGTGATAGGATCATGGTTAATCACCAGGTCTGTCCTAGAGGCTCTTCTGGCCACCCAGCCTTTGAGAACTCAAGACTGTTTCTGTGCCGTGAGGAGGCTAGGGCTGGGCTGGAGGGGAGAAACAAAGGACGGGGGGTGAGAATCACAGTGACATTTTAGCAAAACAGAAAAGGAGGGAAGCAGTTGTTGGGTATCTCTTGCCTTCCATGTGGGATTTACTTCTCAAGCGAAAAATGATACACATCACCATTCAGAGCTTTCCTCTTTAAGAAGTGTTAAGTTTCAAAATGCCACCTGGGGCAGTGGTCTTAAATTGGCCAAATACAATGGGAACCTGGCAGGATAGTTTGTAAAAGATTCCATTGTTTCTGGACACAGGGGTGTGTCTCAACATCTTCATTTTCAGTCCTAAAATCTGTTACTTGCAGTGGGTGAAACGCTCTCTATATATGAGGAAAACACGAGAGACTTCATCTTCCCCGGTCCAAAGCAAATGAATGGACACCATGATTCAAACCGCCAAGTGATGATGCAAAGAATTTCTGGCATCAGGGTAAGTACCAAACATGCGAGGCCCCAGGTGTGGTACAGGAAGCGGGGTCTTGGCAGCTGGAGTCAGCCCTTCCGTAAGTGCTTACTCTTGACTGATGACTCGGTATTAGGAATAGCAAGTCCTAGCTAAGGTTGACTTTTGAGAGCATAGAGTGTGTTTGTAAGAAATGGTTGCTAACTTCACGTGCCGGCTCTTGTCCATCGATGTTTGCCAGTCGGGATCTAGGCAGTTTCTGTGATGTGTGGAGCTTGTGGAAATACCACAGGATGCTCACTTTACTTTTTCTCTCCTCCGTGGATGGATATGTGATAGAGGGATGTGCTTGTTGCTTCTGATTCTCATCTCCCACACCTTCAGCTTTGGTGTGATGTTTATCCTCGGTTTTTCTTTTGGGCCCCTCTAAAGGATCCATTCAGAGTGGAGGGAGGAGTCCCAGGAAGCACTTACTTGGGCCATCTATTTTCTCTTGCTCTTGGCACCTGCACCTTTTACCTCCTGCCTTAATCACACATTTTGTCGACATTATCCTTTATATTTCTCTGTGAGTATAGGGCATCACTGACAGTACAGTGCTGCCACTCTGCCCCACATCTCTGCATACAGTGTTTGGTTTGCTTTGGTTTTGGATCCGATATTTTATTGGAATTGGAGACTTCTGGTAAGTAATTTTCCTCTACCGAAGCAGCAGATGCACACCTCTTTGTCTTCAGAAGTGCTTGGGACACTGGGAGGTAAAGCAGCCTGGCCAGGGACACATGGCTGGTGCATGTCTGAGGTGATACTTGAAGTCAAGTCTTCTTTGAACCCTAGAGCGACTCCCTATCCATTATGCCATAGTCCCTCCCTTACAGTGCAATACAAGAAATATTTATCAAGTTGAGGGTAGAATTAAGCCAAGGGCCTCGTCCTCTCGGAGCACACAGGCTCGTCAGAGAACAGAGGCCAACGGGTATGGCTGTCGTCTTCAGTATTATATGGGAAGGGCAGATCAAGGGCTGTGGGAGCTTTGGATTGGAGGAATGGGTGGCCTTCAGGAAAGGCTTCTGCAGAGAGTGTGAGTTAAACTGATGAACGGGCAGGAATCTAGTTAGGGGAGAGGGCATAGGAAAGACAGTGGAAGGAGTGGCTTGAAAATGGGAAGTGGATGGCGTATTTTTGGGGCAGAGAGTTGGCCAGTATGTAACTAGAGCATAGAACGTGGAAGGGAATGCATGAAATCGAGGTGGCGAGGTTGGATTGTGGAGGACCTCGAGTGCTGTGCAGGGGAGTATGGGCTTGGCTCGGAAGGCACTGTGGAGCCTTTGAAGATCTTTGAGTAGAAGACTAACATGGCTGTGTCTGAGCCCGGGAAGAGTTATTCCTAAAGCGTGTGAGGCATATAAATGAAGTGTATTGTCCATGAATCAAGAAGCACTTGTTAAGTGCCTGCTGTATAACAGGCACTGTGCTAAGGGCCAGAGATACAAAGAAAGGTGGAAACAGCCTCTCCCGGCCCCTCCCATTTTAATGGAGGAGACATTTTGTAAACACCGTTTGAGACAGACTAATGATGAAAGTGTCATTTTAGTCCCAGCTCAGCCACGGAGAAGAGTTAACTTGTTACCGGAAACAAATTCCAAAACCGTTCCGTCACTCAGTTTGCTGTAGCAGAAGACTATGCCAGGCCTTCGGGTTGATGCCAACATTAAGTTAAATAAACCCCCTGTGATAGGGACTTGAAGGAACTAGCCAAGACCTGAGGGATGCATGATAACTTTCTCCAAATAACTTCAGGGCTGGTATGTGGAAGAAAGATTGGCCTTGTCTTTAAAGTGACTTTCCTAAAGCACAGTGTGACTATGTCCTTCCCTGCCAGTGACCTTCTGGAGCTTCCTGTTTCCTTCGGGTCAAACATAAAATAAACCCTTGTGCTTGGCTCTTCCAGTCCTTTCTAGGTTGGGCCCATCTTACTTTCTTAGCCTATCTGACATCACCCCCTCTCACACACTCTGTGGTGGGGCAGATGAACCATCCTTCTTTGCTGTTCCTCATAGAAGACATCCCATCGCAGTCTCTGTGCCTTTGCAAGGTTCTTGTCCCGTGTTAAAAATTTCTCTTCGCTTCGGCTTCCTAGTTTCTCTGGTTTCCTTCAAGATTCAGTTCACATTCCACTTTCTACATGAGACTTTTCCTATTCCTCCCATTTGTTAGTGCCTTCCTCCCCACCTCTCTACCCAATTACCTTTTAATTTATTTTACCTATTAATTTATTTTAATTAATTAATTTAATTTATTTTTAAATTAAATTAATTAATTTTATTTATATCTATTTATCTATCTATGGGCGAATACATGTGCCAAGTTTATGTATCGTCTTCCCCAGCAGACTGTAAGCTCTGTTAGTGTGGAGGGGGACAATTTCACATTTATCTTTGGGTAGCTCCAATTGTTAGGAAATTTTCCTGAGATCAAGCCTCGATTTGCTTCTTTGCAGCTTCCCCTCACTGTTCCTGGTCCTGCCCTGTGGGGCCAAGCAGAACAAAGCTGGTCCCTCGCCTGCAGGACAGCCTTCCACATGCTTGAAGATAGCGAAGATAGCTCTCATGACCCTCTGAGCCTTCTCTTTCCCAGGATAAACATGCCCAGTTCTTTCCATAGATCCTCATATGCCATGGACTCCAGGACCTTCCCAGTCCTGGTCGCTGCCCTCAGGATTCTCCAGCATGCCATTGTCCTTTTTAACGCAAACCCCTTGAACTGTGGACACTGTGGTCCAGCTGTAGTCTGTTAGGACAGAGGACAGTGGGATCATCCTGTCCCTCACTCTGGACTCCCTCACTCAGGCATATTTGATAGTCTTCACACTGGCGGTCCTTTTTATACACCAGCAAGTCATTCTGCTGCCTGGTGACTTGAGCTCATTGAGGACAGCTAGTGATGATTCCCTCTCTGTCTCTGGAATGCCTTCCCTGCTCCTGTCCACCACACAGAGTCTTTCTCTTCCCCCCATTATCTCTAGGAAGGATTTCCTGGCGTGCTCACTCTCTGTCTAACTGCCTTTTCTCGAATTATTTAGCATCTCTTTGTAGTTATTAAGTTTACATTTTTGCTCAGTATATACATAGATGTCCTTGTTGTCTCCTCCAGTAGAATTTAGTAAGATCCGTGTGAGCCAAGGATTTGTATTTGTATTTTCCATGCCAGTGCCGGCATATAGTAGGTGCTTCATAAATACTTGTTAATTGATTGATTTCTCCTTCCTAATAGTTTTGGTTCTGTTCTTTGTAGTTTAAGGTCATTCCCCTTGGAAAAGAAACCAAGCAAACTAAGGCTTAGCTGGTAGGGCATTTTCTGGATGGTCCTTTACGTTCATCTCGGCCCCACTGAGCAGGAGGCCTGTCCCTTGGTTTCTTCTCTTTTTTGTTGTTTTTCACATTCCTCAGTCATTCACCTGTTGCATGTTTAACACACACTTTGTCGGGCAAAAACAAAATAGTCCCTGCCACCAAGGGCTGCCTACATTCTGTCTAGGCAAACAACACATCCCTATATAAGTAGATTTAAAACATATCCAAAGTGAATCCAAGGTCATTTGGACAGAGAAAGCCATGAAGCTGTGCTGATTGGGTCTGTTACAAGTTTACATTGCATAAGCTCATCTGGGCCCTCGCTGCTGCAAGGTGAGAGTCCAGTACCCCTAGTTTTAGGAGCAAGTAGCAAAAGAGACCGAGAGAGTTGTCAGGCAGGTAGGAGAACCAGGAAGAGAGTCGTATGATGAAAAGCCAGAGAGGAGAGATTGCCCGTGAGAAGAGGGTGATGGACAGCATCAGAGGCTGCAGAGAGGTCAGGAAGGATGAGAACTGAAAAAGGGCTGTTGGGTTTGGCCATTAAAAGATGGTCAGTAACTGTGGACAGAGCTGGTCCAGTTGAGTGATGTTGATGGAAGCCAGACTGCGAAGTGTTAAGGGATGGGTAAAGAGAGTAAGTGAATGCAGTTGAGTATAGACACCTTCTTCTAAGAGTTTGACTGGGAAAGGAGGGAGAGATACAGGATGATAGCTTTAGGGCAAAGTGAGCATTTTGGGGGGATATGGGAGACCTGGATAAGTTTGTAGGTAGTAGGGAAGGAGCCAGTAAGTTGGGAGACACTGAAGATTAGAGACAGAGCGAGGATGGTTTGGGGGCCGCTCTGTCAGAGGAGATGGAAGGAAATGTGATCAAGGATACATGTAGTGGGATTGACCCTGGCGAGGAGAGTGGCTGAGTCTTCATCAGAGGCAGGAATAAAGGATCAGAGAGGATGGGAGATGAAGTCAAGGGGTTTCAAGTGTATTCAAGAATATTATGAAGTAAGAGGTTGTGGCAAATAGTCTTTATTTTCTCAGTTAAGTGTGAGGCCAGGTCCTCAAGCTACTGTAAGCTACTAGGGTGTCGGAAGGGATACTATTTGAGGCTTGAGGAAAGAAGAGAAGATTCCAAGTGGTTGTTGTGGGGGACGTGAAAAAGAATCACTCGGGTAGGATTAAAGGGATTGTCTCATGGCACTGAGAACACAGACACTTGTAGCGGACCCAGTCAGCATGTGACTTCTTCCAGCACCATTCAGCAGCATGTGAGCAGGTGCAGAGGAGGCAGGTGGTGGGACGGGGTTTGGTGAGGCCCCTGCCAGGATAAAGCAGGGCATGAAGGCATGGGGAACTCACGAGTAGAGGATACTGTCAGGTTAAACGGGTTAACTATGAGACCAAGACCCAGCAGGGAGGACAGGGACATAACGGCTTGGAAGAGCACTTGGGGGAGGCGGAGGTGCAAGCGATTGGCGGTCAGTGAGAGTGAAGAAGAGGGTTCAGAGAATCGAGCCCCAAGACACGATGGAGTGGTGGAGGCTGTCAGGGGCGTGCCTGACGCCAGCGGCCTTTCAGTTTGGCTTCAGTGTTGGTGCAAAATGAGGCGCTTATTGGCTCAGTTAACAAAAAGGCTTTATTTAGCTGTAGCACAGAGAAGCTATCAGCAAGGAAATA